ATAGGAAATAAATTAATGATGATAAATAAACTTCTGTCAAAATCACTTGTTTGTTCCACTTGCCTCGTCCATAGCCACTGCGATCCGTCAGACATAATTTCCTTCCTGTTTTTTCAAAAATAGTTTTAAACTGAAATATGTCGAAAAGTCCTAAATCAAACAGTAACATATTATATATTTTTAAAAAGAGAAAAATTTAACGAAGCTAATGCACTAATATATAGGGTGTTCCATTAAACAATTTTGTTTTCTTTAATTTAGTTATTTCCATTATTCAATTGTTTTTTCTAACGCTGTATTATAAAAATTCATAAAAAAGCTAAAACTTTTGTATTAAAAACTTTTTTGTAATTTCAACAATATATTCACAATATAAAACATAAATAAAAATACTGATCTGACGGATTTGAAATATTTTTTTAAAATTACTTATCTCGTTTTTAATGAAAAGCATTTATAACAATTATGACGAATTTGAGTAAACAAACTTATGGCATGTGTTTTTAAAGGTTAAAAGTAATATTTGTCTAAATATGACCCTTATTCAAAGTTAGGCCCCGTATAGAATCGGCAGAATACGCCAGTCTCTAAGTTCTCAACTTAGGAGACCTGCATCTTATCACAACTGACTAGAAAAAAAAACAACTTCATAATTAATTTTTCTGTAGAACGTATAAAAGAATGTATATATGTATTAAAAATTAACAATTGCATGCAAAACTACAATCAAATTTCTAAACACATTAGGAATAGAGTTTGTACTACCTTCGCCACTGATATATCGCGCATCAACTCGAATATCTGACTATTTCGGAAAAGTTCTATCGATCCCCAAAAATAGAACTGCACTCACACCAATTACGTATGTTGATACAGAAAATCCCAGAATACGTAAATTTATAAAAATGAACAAAAACTAAAAGAAGCTAATAATAATAATAAAACTATATACGCTATTAAATTTGACCCAAATTTATACCTAGTTGGAATTTTATTTCTGATACAAATGCTGAAATATAAACACAGGCTATTCATTAGCTGATAATACAATTTTACACATTTCTGTACTGCTTTATGGATCCAACCAGGAGTAATGAACTATTACAAAAAAAAAAAAAACGTTTCGAAATAAAACTAGTACACATGTAAACCCGACTATAAAAACAACATTTAGTTTTCTTCCCTTTTCCACTACCTACAGTGGCATACAAAATCCACTACCAGTAAAATAATTGGCAAAAGCACAGCAAAGCAACTAGGCCTAATTCTCGGGGGTATACTTGTATTTACTCCTTTCACACCCTCAATGAAATAAAAAAAAAAAACATCAATGAAAACACCCTACCAGCAACAACTTACTTATTCGATTTACCTTCTCCTTGAGCTACATAACAAACTACTAAGAAAAACCGTAGAATTTCACTGGTCGAATGAATGAATTTTCACTGGCAGCAGATTTTCGCCCGAGGAAAATGACGACACAGAGGGCACAGCTGAAACTCGGTTCCACCCATAGTCGTGCGCATTCGTGCCCTTACCGAGAGGTTTCGCCCTTTTGGCCCCTTGCGGGGGTGTTATGTGTAGGGATAGAAGCTAGAAGGGTACACGCACCCAGACTGACAGTTCAAATTCCGAGCCTAATGGACGTGTAAGCAAATAACTAGAACGGACGCTAGTTATTAAACCATTCACAGGGTGATTCGTGCCCTAAAAGGCTTTAAAATCTTTACCTTGCGCCAAAAGAATCAGGCAGTGGTCAGTTTTTGTAACACCAACTTTGTTTACTTATCCTTTTTGCTATTTAACTAAAGTTTAAATGTATTTTTATCAAAATTTGACAGGTTTAAAGATATATAGGCCTTCTATAGATAGTGGCGGCTCGCAGCAATAAATATTGGGTCAGCAGACCATTAACGAACGTCGATATTTTTTGTAAAAATCAGTCAAGTTCGTTCTCGTTCAGATCGCCAAATTTATCTGCTTTTATTTTAAATTTACTTAAAACTTAAATTAGTCTGCGATCAACAAAACAATCGTGCTTATAGATTAGATCTGTCGAGAATGAATTGGAATGGGTACGGCAAGCCGACCCGGGTTTTCAGTATTATAGTTATATTTCACATAAATTATCCAAGAAGAGTTAATTGAAGGTGCAATTTGTAAACCGAATATAGTGTATTACATCGATATTACAGTCCCGAGGTAATTGCCTTACACGTAAAATTTAAACAAAATGGGTTCAGTAGCGCCGAAATAAATGGGCCTTTAAATCGAGCAAGGCTACAATGAACACTAGGAAGATAAAAACTATTACAATAATATCATTTCAATGAACTTATGAATAATAAGCTTATACAGATGTAAGGAACATCAAAATCGTATCACTCAGTCGCATTCCTCGAAATCAAAATACAACCGACATGATTTAAACGGGCTCGCAATTGATTAATTAATAAAGTAACAACAGAACATACGGAATGTTCTCAGATGTATAGTAAATTATTTAAATATAGCAGCTAATAGTCGAGATGGTACTAATCAATGTTGAATTCAGTTTACATCAATTAAATGAATAAAAAAATATGTTCTGATGATTGAACAAAAATTTATTTTTACGCTTCATATTGTGACTCATGGTATCAAAGAAAACTCCAAAGGTACATCCCATGGTGCGCTGCGCAAAAATCAACGAAATTTATGCTGTTTTACAATAATACATTATTTTTACAATAATAAATTTTCGGTGCAAGAAATTTGAAACACACATCTAATATTCATCAGACAGTATTTCCTATTTTTTAATATTGATATTTGTAAATATATCTTACATATAAATTTGACAACTAAACACAAATTAATACAACTAAAGCTTGTACTAAAATACTCCAAATTACCTAATTGGCCATTGAAAACTGACCTCAAGTGGCTCAAATAAAAGAAAGAAAATTCCTTTGAAGGAATCAATATTGTGTTGAATTTAAAAAAAAAACACAAAATTTTATTCACGTTTTTCAAAGAAAAAAAAAACATCTAAAACTAGTTTCGAGATATCACTTTTTCTAACTTATATTGCTGTTACCAAATACTTCAATTAGTTTAAAATAACTATAAAACTACTAATTTTGAGAAGTTAATGGGATTTTTTTTTTATAGACATACCATTAAAATAAACTCTAGATAGAAGTATGGCAACAAATGTTACAGAGGAACCAGTGTTACATTCAAGATTTTTTTCAATTAGCGATAGTGGTTTATTTAATTGTTGTACAGAGTGTAATAAAGTATGTGTATAAACTTTAAAAGGCGATTGTTTGAGCGAGTTTAATCCAAAAAGGTTATATAAACATGGGTCCTCAAATCGATATTTATTTTAGATTTAAAAAAATCACCTTTTCTTAGACTACAAACAAAATAAAAAATGGTTCGTTTTTCGAATAAAATTCCACTTTTTTATTGGAAACACCGTAATAAGTTACAGCTAGTGGTAAAATTTTGAAAATATCTAGCGGCATCGAATTTAAAGGGCTTTTTTTATACACGTATTTATATCCAAATTTATAAGCAAACTTATTTTCTTAGATTGATTTAATGGCATTATCTGTTATAAATTTTGTGAGATTCAAGGCAGATTAATACCCAACAGATTACAACGATCGGGTAGAAATATGGATATTCGCATTATTCATTTGAAACTGACACTAAATAAATCTAACTGAAAATATTATATACCTTAATATTTTGATAGCCCAATTTCCAAAAAATACATTATTTTGACGAAATACAAAATCGATAAACCAAATAGAAAGTAAGGTAATAACGTATTAATATCTGAAATTCTATATTGTGGCAACAATTTTTTTCCAGGATACGTGTGGCAAAAATAACTTTTATCACTTGTAAAATAATACATTGCTTATAAGAATGAACGTAAAACAGCGTTTAAAATCATAAATCATAACATACTTAATTGTTAAATAAAATGAGTACCTATTGTATACATGAATAAGATTTTAAACCATTTATAAATATTCTTAGAAACAGTTAGCAAAGATAGTGTTTGTAAAGTCAGTAAAGTGGTGTACTGGGCAGTATAACAATTAACAAATAACAGTTATTTGAGTTTTAATAAACCTGGATTTCGACTTGGATCAGATACAAAATAGGTTCATTGATTACCTAAAAACAAGGTTCGTGTTTAATATTTCTCTAATAAATTGTACAAAAAATGTATAAGAATAAGTATAAGACAATCTAGACTGTTATTCAATATTCACAAAAATATTCTTAAATATTTCTCAAAAAATAAAAAGAATTCCAGTACATATTTCTTTGTTTTCATTATATGACAAAGAATGAAATAACCGATATTCCCTTTAAAATTTTCCATTATTAAACAAATCTATACATACATATTTCATAAAAAAAATATATTAAATTATTATTACAAACGACTTTTTACATAACAGAATATCTTAACTCGTGGAAACCATAATATCAATAAATCTATAAAAGTTGTCAAGTTGTCTCATGACATTAGTGAATATTGAAGTCTTAAACAGTCAAATAGGTAGGTAGGTAGGTATGTATGGTAGTTGTGATATAAATACGTACAGAGCTTGGAGATAATAATAAAAGTAAAAAGAATGTGAATTTTAACATCGCCAATAAAAAGTAAAGTTTCTGATACCTACTAAATATTTATTTTAAACTTCAACCTTTTATGGCAAATGATATAAAAATTCATAAAAAATATAAATTACCATCTAAATATGGGTGATCACTTTCTGAAGTTATAAATAGTTTTAAATCCATAATTAACATTATACACATCAATTTACATTAGAGTATACATTTTTTAACACTGAAAAATTTGCAATAAATACCTAAAAGTATAAATCAAGCAGTTTAGATTGTATTCTAATAAATTACATTCTATATTATTATAAGAAAATGATTCCCTGGCATATTATATCTGAAATTGTAATCAAAAAGGTACTTACTGCTTCGTCACAATCGTCATAATAGATAAGAAACTTTTTAGTTAAAAGAAACCACCTCTTTTTATAATTTACTCTGGTATAAACTTTTTTATTTTGTGAACGTTTTATCATAAAGCACTCTCGAATGACTCCCGTACTTGGGAAGAAAGACATTTTTAAAAAACACAAAACATCACATTTTGTTCAAACAAAACAAAATATCCACCACACACCCGACTAAGTTTAAAAAGTTAGGTTATGTTTCTTCAAACGTCAATTATCGTATCGCTCTGTTGTTTGTTTCATGGATATTCAGATTGCAACGCCACTACGTTTTTAACAGAATTCGTCAAGAATGTATTCATGAAGCGACTTATTTCTGACTAAATACAGTTTTTAAAAATGCCGAGGATCCAAATAAACTTCGACGTGTGAGGCGCGTAAATTTGTTTTATTTTTAATGTCTTGGATTGGTGATTGGTATTGGTATGTCGACTGCGGATGTCCACAGAAGCGTACACCCCACTATCAGGATGCCTAGGTATATATTATATTATTCAACAGAGCGGCTCAGAATTTTCTGAGAAATGTTTTAATAGCTCGTCTGTACAAACAAAGTTATCATGAACCCACAGGATACAGAGCAATTTTGTAATACGGGATTAACTACTTTTTGAGCATTCTTGGATCTTGGATGCAATGCGTTTTTTAATACAAATTCTACAACTAATACCTATACCATAACAATGATTGTGATAACATCTTTATATAATTACGTACCTATCTAATTAGGTATTAACTTTAATTTCTGGATTTATTTATTTATATATAAGAATCTTCAAAGATGACAATTTTTTTATTTTACAAATACCGCATGACATATCTACGACATATCTACCTGTAATCTAGGTAGGTACTTATTTTAATGAGGCAGATAGGTAGGTACCTACTGCGAACAGTTATAAAAGAATTATTAGGTAGATACTGTTTATCTCCATTGAAAAAAATTAAGTAAAACATTTTTAAATGGAAAATATAATCGAACAATTTTAGCTCAATGCTTATAGGCATAATGGGATACAGGATAATAAAATTTCAAACATCATCTGTATTAGTATGCAACCCTTTTTACATATATGTTGATATTTTAATTTTAAATAAATTGGAACAAGAGTTAAACAAATAACTTTCTGCTGTTATTATTCGTCGAAATTATCAAGAAATATGTTACATACGTAAAATAAAATAAATATAAAAACTTGTTATGTCTACGTTTGTAGACTGTAGACTTCCATGATAAGTCAAACATAAGTGCAAAAGCCGCAGAGTTGGGTAGGGTTTAAGGTACTAAATAATGTACTTAAAACAATATGTAAACCTATGTAAAATGCTAACTTCAGAAACAATTTTTTCAAGTGTCACGTCTTAAGTCCTAGTCAATAAGAAAATATCTGCCATTTTGAAAGTTTCACTGTTTTAAACATTTGCAATGTGAAGAATGTACTTCAATATACATATATTTAAATGAAATTCTAAAATACATAGTCATTTTGGAGTGAGTATAAGAACATTGATTGCGGTATTTGGTCAATCTAGAGACTTTAATGAAACAGTATTTACTGTAAAAGTAAAAATATATTTATTCATTTGTTGGAAATAAGTGTAAAGGGCATTTCGCGAAAAAAAATTAATTTCAGTTTTGTTCCGAGATAAATCTATTTTGATTAAACTTCACATTTTTATTAATTAACTATAATAAATATCATATACGATTTGGACCTACCTTCAGTAAAAAAGCTGATGTTTATAAAACCTGAATACATCTACAATTAGAAATCTATTAAAAACATTTAAAATAGTTACAATTTTGACAAAGAGATGAAGTTTAATTATAATTATATCTGAATGTTCAAAACTCAGAACCTATTAATTTTAGTGACATACAGCAGAACGAGTATTTTTTTCTTTACAATTAAAAAAACAAATAATAAGCCAGAAAAGCTGCCCCATAACGAGTTTTATTGAAATATCTTAAAGCTAAGGAACCCCTTGAAGTATAAGTATACGTATTATTAAAATGGATGCAGTTAATTGAATTTCATAAATCGGAAATGGTTATTTTTATAATATGATCATCGGGGACAATGTCATGGTGCGCCTCTGGCTGAGCAAACAAGAACATAGGAAACCAGACAGCAGGGAGCACGAGTAGGTATAGTGATGATAGTGGCAGTGGCAAGGCAGAAGTGGGAAACAGGCAGACAAGGCAGCAGACAGCGACAATCCAAGTTCCAATCCAAGTTCCAACTTCCAACAATACCTTGTTAAATACAGAAGCAGTAAGCACAGCTGACTAGTTGAATGCAATGTACCTTCACAAAGACTAATCTTTAAGAGTCAAATAAATAAGGTTCATATTAGTATATTTCTCTCTAAAATTTTTTGTGAACACGCGTTGACTGAATTTCGTGGTACAAACTAAAAAAAGTGTAAATGTGAATCTACTTCAGGGTTATTTGTAACAATTGTTTAATAGTTCTTGTTCCTTTTATTTCGCCGCTCTAAACTAAATTGTACTTTGGACTGTAATCTGTAATGTCTTGCCACTGATAAATTTATAATTTGCTGTATTCGATATATTTATTAATTAGTCCGATAAATTGAACAGTGGGTATCTACATAAGTATTAACTAGTTTATAGGTTGTATTTATTTGTATTTGCATTGATTTTTTTCTTTCAGCAATGGCTTTCAGACGATTAGTGACTTTGAATATAAAAAACGAACTTCATACTTTCCATAAACTTCAGAATAGGCCTTCAAATTTGGTAAGTACCATTTCCAATTTTTTTTATATAGTAAGTACATATATCAAGGTTTTTATATCTCTTTCATTTCTGCTGGTTATGTCCTATATCTACTATAAAAGTATAACTGAAGAAGTACCTATTGGATTAAACCTTCATTAAAAATTGCTTTCACAAGCCTGTTATACTTATATGCATATATTTCTAATGAATTTTTTTTTTAATAATAATGAAAATTACTGTATTTCGTTCAAATTTAAACGCTTTTCAGATGATTATGGTTTCTACGGTTCACACTCGGAGCATTTCTTCTTTGGAGATAACAAAAAATCTCTCATTACTCAGTAAGGAAAAGAAGAGTAATAAAGTGATAAATTTGAAATTGGAGAAACCTGAAGGCAAGCCCTTAGTTGTAATGTTATCCTGGCTAATGGCCAGAAGAAAACATATTTATAAATATGCTGATTTGTATTTGCAACATGATTTTGATGTTTTGAATGTTAGTATAAGTCCCTGGCAATTGCTGTGGCCTACCAAAGGAACTCAAGTAAGTTATCGGTTTGAGTATATTGAACTTTGCAACTGAACTTACATATAGTATGTATAGATACTTTTTATGAAGTATATGTTGTTGTTGACATGTTATGTTATTTTTTGCATCTGCATAATTTCTCAAAAGTAAATAACAATTATGTACAGCACTGTTCATAAAAATGTATACCAGCTTTTAAATTTTTCTATACCTCTGCTTTAAGAAATTATTATTTTCTATTATACTTCTGGAAATTAGTAAAATACTGCAGTGAATTTTTTAAAATTAAAAAATGATATAAGGGCTTTAGTGTTCATTGAAATTATGCTTAAATTTTGCATTATTCAATACTTGAAATTTAAACACAAATATCAAACAGTAGCCAGTAATGAAAATGGAATCATTATCAGTTTCTCTATTATTATACTGTAATCACTAATCAGCTAGATTACTTAAAATGCTGACTGTATTTATAACAATAAGTACATGTCATTTTAGATTCTCCACTCCTTACATTTTTTTCTGAATTTATTAGAGTATTATGATATGAAAAATTCCTGGTTACAAAAATTTAAATTCTAGATCGATTTCTGTTTTTCAATAACCCCTATTTTTCGTTTTGGTCAGTATTTTCCATGTAAATATTTAACAAAGCATGATTATTTTGAAAACCATACACTGGTTGCCTGAATTTTGAAGGGCAACAAACCAAAATTTAAATTGTGGATTTTTGTAAAATATGCGAAAAAGAGTTGAGTTTATTTGGTATTTAGACAACAACATATTTGTGTTTTTTTCCCTAGAATTATGATAAAAAAAAGTCATGACATCTAGTGCCAATATCTCGATGGTAAAGACCAATTTTCAGATCTGTGAAATTCTCTGATAAATTCGGATTTTCTCTTTTCCAAATTGGTATAGACAAATACCATTGATATCAAAGCTATTCAATGTTGAAGAGTTGTTTGAAACAACACTTATTTTGACCTGTAAAGTTCAGAAGTGCCTAATAAATAATAATGAACATACATTTTACAAATTAAAGTAGGTTGTAATCCGCAATGAATTATTTATTAGATTATTTGACTCGGTAAAAGCTAAAAGATCATAAGGTATTATAATAGCCACGTGATATATGAAGTGGTTGCGTAAGTGGTGGTCTTATTTTGATAAAAATAAATTATAATTTATATAATAATTATAATTAATACATATTTGTATAACTACTATGTAATTCACTTTTTTATATACTACTGTAATTTTACTGTGGTACATTATTTTAAACAGAGCATGTCCCGATATATAAGTAGCACACCATTAACGTAATAAGTAAAAAAAAGTTCAAATATATTTTATTAAATAGACCTAAATACGCACAAAATTGGAAACCATAACTTCCTCAAAATTGCAAGTCTTCCAAATATAATTTTATTTATAATTTTTTTATTTAACACTGCCAAAGTTTCAGCAGAATTTCTACAAAACTACTACAAAATCTTATACAGGGTATCTCGCGGTGACGGCCCATTAGAATTATTTCAGACTACTTCTATTTGAATTTTGAAAATTTGGGATACCGGGTTTTCGGGCATGCCCTTCTCAACTATAATAATGGCGTCCACGTACCACTTCCGGTTATACCGGAAGTCGCCATCAACTTGCTTATTTTAAATGGAACACCCTATATATTATTGCAATTTTGATTCTACATGTTATTTTAGGTGGACTTTTATGAAGTTTCCCTATTCCTAAAATTAACCGTTTTCGAGATATTTAATTTTTTTTTATATGGAGAGAAACAGTGACTCGCTTCAAACCATGTGTATTTTATAGTAAGAAAGATAAAGCAACAATATTTATAGGGGGGGACAGCTAGACCCTTAAGCTTCCCATCCATACTTTCAAAGTGGCTTAATTGCATACAGGGTGCTAAAAATTTAATGCCGAGTTTAGTTAACTTCAAACCTTCATATGTCGGTTTTTTTAAATGGAACACCCTGTATGTTTTTCTATATTCTGATACACAATTTTATTCTCTTTCGAACGGTATCAAGGTTCCATTAAAATTGAATAACTCTTTATAAGCAGATTCTATTTCCCTCTAGATGGTAGCAAAGGACGTGCTAAAATTTTTGGATATCAACACGAAATATGGTCCACTAATCCTACACGGATTCTCTGTTGGCGGTTATCTTTGGGGTGAAGTTTTGGTAAACATTGCCGCTGAAAGGGATCGCTACGCTCACGTCGTGGACCGTATAGCAGGTCAGGTCTGGGACAGCGCCGCTGATATTACCGAAATTTCTGTCGGTCTCCCCATTGCTGTATTCCCAAGGAACAAGGTTATGCAAGCCGCTCTCAGACAATATGTTGTGTAAGTAAAGTTGCAGCCCCAAAAGCATGTGCATGGAAAAATCCTTAAAATTAGACATTTAACGACGTATCTTTTTTAGGTATCACTTAAAAGCATTCGATAAGGTAGCAACAAGGCACTACGTGAGGTCCAGTCAGATGTTCCACACTAATCTAGTGAGAGCGCCAGCTCAGTTTTTCTTGAGTAAAACTGATCCTATTGGTGCTGTGAAATCCAACCAGAGGGCGAAGGAAAGTTGGGAAAGCATGGGAATTCAGGTGAGATTTAGGTAATAAATGAATGAACACGACAAATTGGTACTTTGACAAAGCTTACTCAGTTTAACTACGACTTGTTTCAACTAGTATCTTGGATTTAATTCCTCAAATCACTTTGAATATCGAAAAAACCTTATACTTATTTTAATAACCCTCAAGAAAAGGATTTCTGCGACGAATTAAAAACTCTCAAACATCACTGGACGGACAAACTTTGGGATTTTTCTTCCAAATGACTTTAAAACGGTTTGAGATAGAGACTTCTTAACTGATATGCGTCTTTATTTATTTAAGAGTTAGATATTACTAGCGTATGTATGTAAATGACACACAGGGTGTTATTTCTTTGAGAACCTCACTCCCTCGACCACCCAAATATCATTTTTATACGTTTGCATTGTGCATCTCTAATCTCTTCGAGTTCAAGTAATATCTTTCAAAATACTCAAAATTAATAGTCTTTTTGGCTATTTATTAATCTATTAAGTTCTTTGTGGTCTCACAGTGTAGTACTTTATGCAGAAAATGAATGGGAAGGTCACAAAAAAGAAAGTGTCAATAAACTATTTCATTATTCACATAATTTAGTTCATTTCCTGTTCTTTTTGTCGCTAGGTAAAATAATGTTGTGTTTTATTAACAAAGGAAGTACTGACTTAGCAGGTTTTATGCCTAATATATATTTTTTAAAATAGTGTAGGTCCCATGCTTCATTATCAAAATATTTTTTAGTAAAACATATGGACGAGACTAAATGTATGTAGGCATACCTAAAAGCCCCTGTAGAGTCAGAATATTGTGCAATCAGAAAATCAATTGAATGCCAATATGGAAAAAGTGTATTTTTTTAGAAAAAATTTTTTTCGCCTGCATGAAGTATTTTTATTTCAGGTATACTGGAAGTGTTGGGACAGGTCGCCGCATGTGGGCCACTTCCGTTCTCACCAAAAAGAATACATCTCCACTTTGAATGCGTTTTTAGAAAACACCAACATTTTGAGCGAGAAAATTACAAAAAAAGTCAAGGCAAAGCTATAATACTTATCAACACGAATCTATTTAAGCACCATTTACGGTATCATTGTATTTGTAGCGAGTAGAGTTGATCACTGTCAAAAAAAGTATCTAGGGCTCGGTCACATACTGAGAATTTAGGTAGGTTTTTTATTTTCATGATTCTTTTTCAGTGCACTACTAGGCAAAAGCCCTGTGAAGATAAGAAATGACGTTTAAGAATCCCCGCCCTGACTTTTGCATATTTAAAATATAATTTTTATTTTTAATTTTATTTACTCCTGTTAAACCATACTGTGGACAATTTATTAAATTATTTGGAATTTATGTGTCGATTTTTAGAGATTGATATTACGGCAAAATGTGATAGATTAATTTGATATATTTTCCCTAGATTTCTTCAGATTTTGCACTTAAATCATTTTCCTTTGATTCAGCTCTTTGAATCAATCAAAATTTGTTAGTAAATTAATTTTATTAAATTTTCTGTAAGCAACAAAAAAGTTACGTATATTGAATCACTTTCTGTGATAATTGGAATGGGAAATAATTGTTACCTGTGTACAAAAAGACATCAAGTACTTTACGAAAACAATTGTGATTTTTTTTAAATTGATTTTTTTTGCTACATTTTAGTTGTGCTGCTAATAACTCACCAAAAGTAAAATATTTATCTTAAAAAATAATGTAATTAGTGAAATCACCGAAACGGAACAGCAGTTCTGTCAAAAAGTCTAGTCTCTATCTGTATTATTTCTTTTTTCTCGTATGAAGGTAAAGCAAAACGAGTGCATTTTGGATAATTTCATAAATCAGGACAAAAAGGAAGTAATCCGATGTTATTTAAAAAGTATAAAAAATAGTCAAAGTATCAGTAATTGATACTTTTGTTATACTGAACAAAATGATTTAAAATTAGGTTGTAAGCAGTAGGTCGTAACAATAGACGTTATGGATAAGAGTATCACGCACTATGTAGAAGCTCATTAAAATAGGAGTTGTATACTCCACTGTATACTATTTTTGAAATATCCATGGACGTGAATAAGCCTTAAAAAATGTGTTGCTATAACGGAAAAATTTTGTATCAAGAGAATATTTTCCTTGTAGGTATTAGTTCTGCAAATGTGAGATTTATAAATTTATATGTAGGTAGAACATGTATTTTATATTATGTTGAATACATTTTTATAATAAAACTTGTTGATATGAATATGTGTATATTATTCTACAGTTGCTAAATAATACTTTATATACTCCTGGTAAGTAAAATAATAAAAATAAAATTCACTTACTATTACATTGTTGGCTTTCATTTCTGTAAAATCTGTAGCAGGCTCCAAAGTTCTGGTTGTTCCCTGGTGTCTCGGGCATACATGGAATATTTCAATAATCAGAGCAAAATACCTTAAATTCCCATTTGTTTATTAAACAAACTTTGCTCATAATGGGCTGTAGTAAATATGAGATTAATGTAAATAAAAATAAAACTTAAAAATGTATTTGCCGCCACTGTAAGAAATTAAAAATTGACATTTGACATTTGTGTTCTTTGCTTCTAAGGGCTCATCCGCATGGCATGCAATCAACGAAATCCGGATAAGAAATTTCTTTGCGACCAATTATAGAAATGCAAAATTTGATCAAAGCAAGATCAGTAAGATCTTGGGAACAAAGAGCGAATATCATGCGGAGATGTCATGGAGATGTTATGTCCATCATAGGTTTATAAGACCTTAGCACAGAATAACACCATGGAAATTATAACAAGAGATTAAATTTAGAATTAGATGGCTGGCTTTGCTAATTGAAGACGTCATATTTGAGCGAACAAATCACGTTAAATAATAACTGATCAGGCCAGTTCCCTTACATCTGATTGGAAAAAGAGAAGGAACTCCCCCTACCATTAAAAAAAAAAATCAATTATCAATGACGATGAAATAACCCCAAAAATATTTTATTGACGTTATCTTGTGTTTTTGCATTGTATTATTGTATTATTATTTATTTTAAAATCATTCAAATGACGATGACAAACAAAGTTATCAATTTGTATTCAGGAAACAGTAGTAGATAAACGATTAAAACAAACTGATTATTACCAGTAATAGTATTTGAATAGAAATCTTTATTTGTATCTGAACAATGTCGTGGTTAACAATTGTACAAATATTTTGCGTTTGTGCGAGTTTAAGCTACGGGGATATTGTGTGGCAACAGCCAGAACAAGTGCATATTGCTTATGGAAATAATATTTTTGAAATAGTTGTGACATGGAGTACTTTCAACGAAACACCCAGTTCTATTGTCGAGTACGGAATTGGTGGACTGATACTGCAAGAAGTGGGTACTTCAAAAATTTTCACTGATGGAGGAGAGCTGCACCGTTCACAGTATATTCACAAAGTTACCCTTAAAGATCTCACCCCAGATAGCAAATATGGTAAGTTGATATTATTTGTTTTATTATTTTATATAATTTATCTACAATAAATGTATGTTTCTCTAAGTTTACCACTGTGGGAGTGAGATGGGCTGGTCCAATTTATTTTTCTTTAAAACCGCTCCTAATACTACAGATTGGCAGCCACATTTATTAATTTTTGGCGACATGGGTAATGAAAATGCTCAGTCTTTGGTCCGCTTACAAGAAGAAACACAAAGAGGGTTGTATGATGCTGCCTTGCATGTAGGCGATTTTGCTTATGATATGGATTCGGTAAGGCTTGATTATAATAAGTAAGAGGGGGTTATAGATACTCATATAGTAATTTGGCGAATTATATAAAACAAAAAAAAATACATTCTTAATTTTATTGTACAGGAAAATGCAGAAGTTGGTGATGCTTTTATGAGGCAAATTGAAAGCATTTCTGCGTACTTGCCTTATATGACTTGCCCCGGAAATCACGAGGAAAATTAGTAAGTTTATTCATAAAAAATTAATAACCATTTGTGTTAATGGTACTAATATTATTACCTGCATTTAAAGCAAAATAATTATTGTTATTGCAAGTTTGTGGTTATTCCTGGTTTGATATTTATACTTATTTCACAGTAATGATGACGTGCTATTTAGGCATGACTCCTTTACATTTATATTTGCAAAAATATTATTATGCAACACAGATACTTATAATACGATATACAAATAGTTGATTTTAATATTTCTTTTGTTGCAAAAAATCTTTTGATTATATTACTACGAAGTATGTTGGTCTTATTGCTCAGCATGTTTATATTGTTGTTTGTATTATTTTTTTATCAGTAAGAAATACAAATTTAATAAAGCATGTGTAGATGTATTTGTTGCTTGCCTATTTATGTAAACGGGTAATAAATTTGAGTTTTATCTTTTAAAAATGCAATAACCTTAGACTGATAATATTCAAAAACTTGTCAAGGCTAGAAAAATCAGTTTGTTTTGTTTGAAATCGCAAATATATTATGCTGAAATAGTTTTAAATGATAACTCTTTCTTAGCATGACGTAAATATTTTTTCACCAATACTTCAAGGAAATTTATGTTTACAGAAAAAATAATAATTTACGTATGAATGTACGTACAGGCTGAACCAAATTCGGCATCTTTGGCATTTCTCCTATTTTTCAAAAAAATATTTCAAGCAAAATTTGATTAAATAAAACCACATCTGATTCCGCATCAGAAAATGAACAAAATAGAATAACGTCCTGTATCTCTGAAACGAGTCAAGATACCGCCATGTGGTTTTTGCCATTCAACATTTTTCAAAAATTAAGTCGTGACATTTGAACTACTTTCTATATTTTCCAAAAATAAGAGAAATTCAACCAAAAGAGTATCAAATTTGACCTATCCTGTACATTTATGTTACTTACCCCATAATATTTATTTTGTATAGTTTAGTTTAGTACGTGATATAAGTACGTCAATCATATATTATAATGTACTACATCTTCTATGCCTTTCATCTATATTATATTTAAATTTCAGCAATTTCAGTAACTACCGTGAACGGTTCAGCATGCCAGGTGGTTCGGAATCCTACATGTTCAGCATCAACGTAGGGCCTTTACACATCATATCCATATCGACGGAAGTTTATTACTTCATGAACTACGGCATAAAGCCTCTGGTATTCCAGTACCAGTGGCTGGAAAACGATCTGGCTCAAGCCAACTTACCAGAGAACAGGGAGAAGCAACCCTGGATCGTCGTTATGGGTCACAGACCCATGTACTGTTCGAATCTGAACCACGACGACTGCACTCACTACGAGACACTAACCAGAGTAGGTCTACCGTTTTTACACTTTTTCGGTTTGGAGCAGTTGTTCTATAACTACGGCGTAGATTTAGAAATATGGGCACACGAACATTCCTATGAAAGACTATGGCCTATTTATAACTATACGGTGTACAACGGTAGCTATGAACAACCATACGTGAATCCTTCGGCTCCCGTCCATATCGTGACTGGTTCGGCGGGTTGTAAGGAAGGCAGGGAAAATTTCACTATAACCAGACCGCCTTGGTCGGCTTACATCAGCCGTGATTATGGCTACACTCGACTAAAAGCATATAACGGGTCACATTTGTATATCGAGCAAGTGTCCGACGATAAAGACGGAGCCGTAATAGATTCGATTTGGCTCATTAAAGAAAAGCACGGATCTTATCCACTTTCCAAAATGGACTGGGCGAAACTGGACGAGATGAGATTGAAAAATTTAAATTCAATGACGTAGAACCGTAATAAATATTTCTCATTACATTTGTTGATATTAATCTAATTGTAGATGTACTCTACTTATTCGAATCTTTCGAAATTTTTGTAATGCACCTACATTATGTTTAATGTAAATAACAAATATTTAGTTGAAAAATATGACTGTAAATGTGATATTGCCATGCCAAAAATAAACGATTCATATTTTTTGTATTTTTTTTAATTATTGAAAACTATAACAATTTTAGTAAAAATAAAATTTATTAGTATATAATATACTATAAATAAACTATATAAGTTTTTTAGTATAATTTTAGCAGGGTTTATATAAATAATATTAATTATTTATATCGATGTAAAATAAATAATTTGACTACTCGTGAAAATTAAAGTGGTCATATTTTGATAATGTGATGCAGTAACAATACTGGTTGTTACGGGATGATGGCCCACAGAAAATTTTGGTGATAACATCATGATCAAATTTTAATCTTTTAAATTTTGAAAAATGGAATGTTACTGTGAAATTGTACTTGAAAAAGGTACACAACTACTTACAGAGAAAATTAAATTTAGTCAAAGAAAAATGGTATCTGAGTTGATTACAATAATACACAGGGTGTCCGTAAATCTGCGGACTTGTGAAATTTCACAGACGAGAGATAACCGGAGGAAATTATCACCCAGTATATCGATTTGACTAAAGTTTTAAGAAATAATACGCCATAATGGTCCAAATAAATGTGCCAAATTTTAACACGATCAGTAAGAGGGTTATGAAGTTATTAATTAAATTAGTTTTCTTTTTGACAACTTTGAAGGCATTTAACTCAAAAATCAAAAAGTTTTTATTTAACTTTTTTTTCCTAGATCGTATTTATTTGTCGTGAATATGCAGTCAAACGTTGTCGGTGAAATTTGCGAACATCCTGTATATTGTGCATACAGGATGGCTTCTAGATTTATAAACCGAAATAAACATAATTACAAATTTTAAATGTTTAGAATATATCTTGAAATTCCAAAATTTTCCATAATTAATTAATATGTATAATAAAAAAAAATCAGTAGAATTGTGCATCACTTGTGCAACTTGTACAAAAAACATAGAACCATCATGGTTCTTAATAGACCAAACTATATGTGCAACCCTTTTCGAGATCTCAAGGTAAGTCGCCCTATTTTAATTTTTTATTTTGCAAATTTCGTTCGAATTTTTATTTGTAACAAAAGTTCACAACCACTCGAGCTTACTATGTTACGACGACTTTCATTTTCATCAGTTGTTGCTGATGTTAATGTATCGAGATATTTTTGTAAAATTAACGATAACTGTAAAGATTCATGTTTCTTAGACAAAGTACTCCATTTATTTTAATATAAATTTCAGATCTGCTCTACCGCATTTAGGAAATATGCCAATCATCTTGTAGGTTCAGTAACTATTCAGAATTTTAATACATATTCTAAAAAATTTATTTATTAGTGATGGACCCACAAATATTCAAAAAAATTTTAAACGAACGCTTCATCTAATGCAGTTTGTAATTTTCGACAACAGCTTTCCCTCTTCCAAAATAAACCTTTCTTTCAGCCACGCAGGTTTCATTTATTGATTTCGTTCTAGCTTTGCACAATTTTAAATCGCAGATATTCATGGCCAGATTGAAATCATAAAATAAATTACTGTTTCCCCCATTTGGGCCAACCAATATGTCGCAGTCTAAATGTTTGTTTCGTACATCTTGAATGCAACAATTTAAATACTCGGCATGAACTGCAAAGTACTGGCTTATATCGAAATGCCTAATTTTTAATTTCCTAGCTAAAATACCAGTGATGTAAGTATCGTCGATCCAAAAATATTTTGTGGTTTTACTTAAGGCAACTAATTTGGCGGAAGTATTTGGGGTTGTTACATAGAACCACCCAGAGACAAAGAGGGGGTAAGTATTTTGGTCATACTCTTCGGGAGTTACGTACCACTTATTCGCTGGCTCTCGAATGGGGAACATATTCTTCAAAATATATCCTGCCATAAAATTACCGCTTTTGGGTAGCTTAAAAGATTGTAATAAGTTGGGAACCCGTTCTACATTTACCACAATATCGTCATCCATTTTTATAACATACTTAGCATTAGAACAGTAATCCTTAGCCCATTTCAAACCCATTACATGTTTGTAAGTTAAATTTCTGTAAGCTTCTATGAAATTTCCCTGGACTATATCACCAAACATTTTACTTTCATCTTCTACTTCTTTCTGGTTTACAAATTTGTCTGCTGGTGCTTCCCCCAACAAAAACACCCTTCTGAAATTTAGCAGTTTCAAATCTTCCCGGGTAAAAATCCTGCGCATGGAACTCCTCGTTTCCGTGTTGGCAAAGTATGACGTCACGATAAATAACGCTAATATGTTTGAATCCTTTTCACACATATCCCCATTGTTTAAAACATATTTTAAGTCTATGTCGAATATTCTCCCGAAGGTTTGATTTTGGTTTCTGGGATTCGAGTTTGTTGCTTCTTCAATCTCTATTAACGATATATAACTTTGATTTTTGTTTTTGATTGAAAATGTGATTATAAGTATGAACAGGAGCACCACCGCCACCAGGGCTTGATAATATTTTGTTCTAGTAAAACACATTCTTGGATTTCTAACCCATTTTAACTACGTTCATTAACTAAGATGATGTAATCTTATTACCTACTCCTTTTGCAGAGACGAGCGCATACAATATAACGGTAAACAAAATTTGTTTATTTATAGTAAAGGCTGAAAGTTCATACAACAGACAATTCTCTAAATTGTATATAAAGTTGCCTAACTAAATTTAAGTTTTGTAAATCCTCATCTACGGTAATGAAGTGTGTTTTAAATTAGAAACTTATCTTGCAATTATTTTTACTTCTATATAGACTTTACTTACAAAAAATGTATAGAACAATTTACTGGTAATTTTGATAAAACTTGTCAAAATATATTAATATTTGCGCTGTCGGAAGCACCTGTGCAAATTTGTATGTAAACATTCGAAAAAAAAACAGAAAACTAACACTTAATAATGCAGTTATCTAAGAACAAATACACAGAGCTCCCGTAAATGATTCCAAGCTACGTGATCAGTAATTTTGTTTCAAACAATTTTATTTCCTTCACGTGTGCTATTAAATTTCGGTGCACCAGCAGCGCTCTCCATAACGAATTATACATATGGATACGTTCGTTGTAAAATTATTTATGTTTGCGACTGTTACACTATACAGGGTGTCTCAGAACAGGTGGGCAATTTCTGGGATTTATACAGGGGACGTTAAAATAACATGACAGGTCCCTAACAAAATTTTCCCTAGAGAACGCCCCTTGAAAATTGATTTTTTAAAATAACTCAAAATACTTTGTGTAATTTAATTATTTTTAATAAGATGGAGAACATATAAGACTCCTTAAAAATTGACCCAGGAAAACAATTTGGCTTATTTGGTTTGCCAGGGACGGACAAGCTGTAGCACAATAATGTAAATTTTTTTATGGTAAAGGCACAAAAATAATATTTTTAGATAGCGGCACTCTTGGCTTATTTTTGTTTAATATGATTTTTATTATATCCGTAAAGAGAAATAAACTGTTGAAATTTGCATTCTTTCTGTGCCTATCTTAAAAAGATGCTACTTTTATTTACATTTGTTTTTTCCTAAAAATAACTAAATTACAAAGTATTTTAAAAGTTATTAAAAAAAAAATCGATTTTCAGGGGCGTCCTTTATCTATCTTTTTTTAAAACGGGCAGCAACATTGAAAGTCGTTTTATTTAAAAAAATATTATCTCTTAAGAAAATCACCTACAGTTATTCTTGAGAAAAATGGCATTATTTGCAGGTTTGTACATTTCGGTAATAATAATAAGAAAAACTATAAATTAGCAAAAACTTTTATTTTCCAATTACTAAAAAATAACATATAATTTTTAACTTGAAACTATCCTTCTTATAACGAAACTATATGCATTATATACAATTCTTATTTAAAACATGTTCAACTTATATTAAACGGTCCATTTCAAGTATAAACATCTCTTCGTATGGTTAAAGTAAAATATAAAACTTATGAGAAAAAGAACTATTTATAAAATACCATAGGATTTTTGGAATCTATATTCTGTATGATGTCTAAAAGAATTTCTAAATCTTCCGATGTTGCAACATGCTCTGGTGAACCTAATAATAAAGCAGGTTTGTTATCAATAGTAATTTTGTACTTATCGCTATTTGCAGAGAAACCGACACATCGTTCCGGCGTCAATTTATTTGTAAACGTAACCGCTGATATTTTTCCCTGTTTAATAATAACTTTTATTTTCCAACTTGGTGCGGGTAGTTTCATGTGTTTAACATCCGTTACCAGTTTCTGAAAAGAGTAATCTAGAGTGCCGTCTTCAGGGTAACGATAGGGAGCAAATTTTAAAAAAAATGTCTTATCTGTCTTATTCCACTGCTGGGCATTTTTATAATTTTTGACAAACAATATTTCTCTATGGAATGGCACAGATTTATCTGATTTAGGAATTACTGCTCCATTTTTAATTGCCCTTCCAATACTAACAGCTGCTTTTGGGAAAAGCTTTATTTTTATTTTATCTCTGTATTGTTTCTTTATCACCCTGTTCAAGGTCTTTGAAGCATCCTCTGAACTGTTTTTCATCATTACATTTCTTGATTGAAATTTACTGTTGATAATAAATGATTTTTCTTTCTCGTTTTGATTTTTCATTTGTTGTTCAGTTTTCGCACTTGAAAGTGAATATTTCATATTTTCTATTAAATTCTTATCAACACCTTTTCTCAACGGGGAGTGAATAGGAGACTCTTCAAAGAAATGACTTTTCCTTTTTATCTGCCTTCCAAAACTTGACACTACCTGCTCCTTCCGTTTTCTTCTACTCGGGGAATTAAATGTCGTGTATTTTCTTTTTAAATCTACAAATAATTTTTTAGGAAAATTCCAATAAGAATTTAAAAATGACTTACCAAGAAGGTCCTCCCTTATTAAACGTATCCTAAGAACCTTATTGTTAAGTGCTGTTTCTTTCACCGTAATGTTGTCCGATGTGAAGTAACCATGTTTTTGTGCGACTGTCAAACCTGATCCGTTGGTGCCCTTAAATGTGGTACATTGTATATTTCCATCCAAAATGACCTTACAATTAAGGAATTTTTTCAAATCGATTCTTTTAGAATTTTTTCCGATATCCTAAAATAGCAAGCATAACCCTAATTCTACTTTGAAAACAACTTTGCAACTCTACTAACCATATCCCCGACGTATACATCAGATCAGATTTTTCTTTTTTTTAAATATACCGTTTTGAATAATTCACTAATATTCGTTATCGTTATTAACTGACAAATAATAATTTTGGAAAAATTAGTTTACTTAATAATTAAAATTTCACAGTGGCGCTATCTGCTTGTTGTCCGTAAAGTGACGCTAGTTGCCCGCCTTTGTTTGGTAGTACGTTCCGTAACGTGTTTTGTTGCGTTGTTAGGAACAGGAACTGAATACATTAGCACAAATAAATTTTATTTTCAATTTACGACTTAGAATATTACACAGAAATGGGATTTTCTATTCAATAATTTTAAGCTAAAAGAGAAAACCACATATCTATAAAGAAAAATCGTTTCTGAAGTTCAATATTTGATACATCAATTTTCATTGAATTTGAACGCAAATGTCATGAAAAGAGTATGTCGGATTAATAAATATGTAATGAAAAGTGTGGCGGATTAATTGAACCTTAGAAATAATTAAAATAATCTGAATTTTTATTCAAATTAAGATTTTACTTTTTTTCGCGGTAACCACGGAAATTTAAACCTAAGAGGAAGCAGCTATGAAAAATTAAGATTTATATAGGTACTTGCATCATATTTTATTTACCTACTATTTTTATGAAATCTGATAAGAACAATGTATAACTATGAGATCAGGAGTAATAGAACGTTTGTTCTACAGAATTAAGTTCAATGCAAAAAGAAATTAAAGAAAATCTGAACCAATTTAAATTTTAAACAGTTAAAATTCGGGAACTGCAATGACGATTCGCAAAGTTCTAAAATCATCTAATTTCTGGCAAAGAGCAAATGGATGTGTTTAATTATTAAAATAACAATTTAAATTTGATTATTTGAATTAAAATGGAATGGATAAAAACAGAGAATTCAATTGTATAAAAAATTCATAAATAAATAATGGAAATAGAAAAGTTTTTAATTTAATTTTTACATTTTTCTTTTAAATTTTATACATACCTTTTTTACGATTCTGAGCTCTGTTTGACCATACTTTCTGCTGCTTTTTGCAGTAGATATGTTGTGCTTGGATGTAAGAGTATTTTTCTGAAAATAAACATGATACTGGAAATTGGCACTATCAAATGAATTCGACTATCGAATAATTAGTAAACATCAATTATCGAATAAATTAGTTTGTTGCACCCGAGGGCTACACAATGATTATTTATTTTCAAAAAGAAGTATGATTTACTACAACTTAGTATGGCACAATAGCAATTCATTTATGCAAATAGTTGGTATTGTTTGTGCTCAAACGAGTATGAGACGATGGGAATATCTACTAATACTACTCAGTCGACGATGACTACTGCAATACTTTTTGGATTATCAAATAATTCGAATAGTCTGGTACTATCAAATATTTCCATAGATTTAACGCCACAGTGCTCATCGGTAGTATTACTTGGCAACATTTTCATTGTTCGACTTGCTATTATTGTACAGAATGGTATATGATACCAATTACATAACGATAATCTAGGTATTAAACATCAACAAACCTTTGATGGATATGAGTTTGACGATTCTCTTTGTTTTCCATTATCGCTTCTAGTTTTTCTATGAATTGAAGAGCGAGACTTCATTTGCAGCGTAGGAATCCAGTCGTCATCTCTAGTCTTCTCCAAAGCTGCCGGTTTTCCTGACAAGAAATATTCATAACATAAACACTAACATTGACAGCTATCAATTTAAATTTAGATTTATACCAAACAAACCTGTTATAAAATGTTTACTACATATCCTTAACACATCTGATGAATCGTTCGTTAATCCCATAGCGTCTAACCAAAGCTTTCTCCTTTTCTTGGACAATTCTGCCTTTTTAGAACAGAACTTATATTTTATAGGCGACGGTACATCAAAAAACGGCACCCCTTTAGAATAATAATTCTCACAGCCGTTTACAGAACATTTGGTAGGCATTTTTTGTGTTGTAAATGTAAATCGCACGGAAGAACATACGCTTAAACTACGTAAATAACCAGCAAATAACGCTCTAACCGAATGAACACTTCGATCGAATAAGTATGGTTATGGTAAGCATAAAAAATACGTTTTTGTCAAATTTAAAAATATATTGGAATAAAGACTTTGTAGATGACAATAAGGAAAATAAAAAACCTAATTAAATAATATATACCTTATTATTTAAGAAAATTTATCATTTCGAAGAGTACAAACATTTGCCATTCGGAACGTTCCATTATTTTCTTTGGCGTCCATCTTAGTGATATATAATATTTAAGTATTAGGTACTTTCTTTTTGAATTTGGGTAGAGTAGGTACCCTAAAAAAATTGAAGGAAATTAATTAATTGAGTGACTGGAAAATTTAAAAAACATAAATTACAATTAAATTTATATAAAAATAGGAGTTAGATAGGTAGGTACTTGGGCATTTGTTGTGTTGCGTTTTAATATGTCAAAAAAGGTATACCTATATTTGATTCAATAGGTACCTATCTAATTAATATAGGAATTATTGTAGCTTTAAATTTCATTTATAGGTATATAGGTAGCCAAGGATATTAAAGTAACGACATGAATTTAATTTATTTTGTTCTCATTATACATACAACAAAATACCTAGGTATATATTGGCTGAGTTGCTGTGTATCTAGTATCTAAGAACCTAATTAAGAATGCCTATATTGCCTACTTAGGTGTATACCTAGACAATTATTCAATATACCTAAGTAAGTACCTATAGCTAGCTAGTAAAATAATCTTAATATGTTTATAATATACTTATAGATACCTATATATTGGCTGAGTTGCTGAGTATCTAAGAACCTATTTAAAAATGCCTTCTTAGGTGTATACCTAGATAATTATTCAATATACCTAGGTACCTATCTAGCTAGTAAAATAATCTTAAAATGCTTATAATACTAGATACCTGATAAAATAGATGTATTTATAGGTAGATACTATGAAATACATATTTATAAAATCGTTCGACAGGACTGAACATATATTTTAAAAATCTATCTAGGTATAGCTTGTCAAATTTCATTGTCTATCTAGACAGCTAACTTTATTTGATTCAGTATCCATAATACGTCCCTTATAAGTTTTCAGAAAATAAATCCATATCAATTTTTGTTTTTAAATATAAATTAAACAAATAATTTAAGTAGGTACAAACATTAACAAGTCGAATAGAAAAAAATATAGATAGGTAGGTACTTTATTTTCAATTTCTGATCTAGTCACTTATCTATTTCATTTTACAAGTGATCTGACCTTGAAAGCAGATATGATATTATGCAAGTACTTGAAGTTCTTTCATTTTGGCAAAAATAGTAGCTATTAGCAGCTAGTATCAGTTCATAGTAATTCTTGAGTTGCTATTGGCTGTTAATAGCTTCTATTTTTGCCAAATCGAAAGGCCCTATGAACATATGAAGTTGAACACAAATAGCTTAGTGAATGATTAATATTTAAATAAGTATGTACTTTAAACATATTTTAAAAATTCGTCATGATCACTGTTAATTTTCTCATTTGGTCGGTATCTAAATTGAATATTGTCATTTGTATATTAATTCTAGCAAATATTAATTATTTATTATTATTTATATTATTGTATTATATTATCAGTTCAGAGTAATTCTGAATAGCAATTTGCTGCTAAAATAGTTACTAAGCGTATGTAATTGAATCTTTGTATTTATTTTGAAGTATTGAAGAATTTACTTTATTAGTTAATGTTAAAATTAGGAATCATTAATTCATTTTTGGTCAGTGCTCTATTAGTAGTAAATAGAGCAATGCAGGTAGGTATTCGCACTATTTATGCCTCAGTCACGGCGCGCGCCGTTATTTTTGGCGATGTTAGTCGTCTAAATGATTTGGAACCGAGGGGGACTATCCCTCATGTTTGTCCTGCTTCGTCGCTGTAGGCCTGTATAACCTCGTGAAAGTGGGCCCCATGTGTCGTCGACTCCGACCACCAGCGTGGCCGGTGTAGGCGCTTTGTGGGACCTCCTCTTGTCCTGGCTGAGGGAGCCTTTTTTGACGATCTCCTTATCTTTTCGGTTCTTTCTTCGCCGGCTTGTCTAAGTCTAACCCCTCGGGGGGTAGTCATCGTCGTGGGCGTGAGTGGCGGTACCACTCGCACCCCGGAGGTGGGTTTTTGGGAATAGCGTTTTAGCTAAGGATCCGTAGGGTCATCGAGCCAAATGACTCGGTGGACTCTGGTGTGGGGAAGGGTACGTTAGGGTAGCGCGGAACTGTTCCGCGGGCACCGTTTACTAGCTACTAGCGGGCGAATTCACTAGCTAGTAAACTTGCCCGGTGTGATCATGTTTACTAGCTAACTAGCTGATTGTAGACAATCTGCGAGAAAAAGTCAAAGGGCTCGATTATATTGAGCAAGTTTACTAGCTTCTAGCCGGCGAGTTTAGAAGCGGGCGAGTCAGCTAGTGCGATAGTGACGATAACACGCAAAACCTTAGAGCATATACTACTGGAGGCAGCGTCTCAGTGGCCGAGAGTGTAGCGGAGCTTGTAGATAGAGAGGTATAGGCGGGTATATGCTATCTCTCTCTAGCAGCATGCGATTCTGCTTCTGTCGTTGACAGGGGGAGAGGACGGTAGCCAATCGCGTGCCTCTCTCTCTACAACCTCCGTTACACTCTCGGGCACTGCAACGCTGTCTCCAGTATACGCTCTAAGCACAAAACTTTCCATTCGCTCAGTAGCTAACTAGCTTGTTGATATTGAAACCAGGAACCAGTGGGATACTGGGACACTCGTAGTTAGTTCATTAGTAACTGATGACAACACGGTTAGTTTACTGGCTTACAAGCCCACACGCCAGCGGATAAAGCGAGGTTTTCAATTTTTCTTGCATATTGTTTATAACCAGTGAACATGTTTACACTGAGCGAGTTTACTGGCAGCTACTGAATTCGCCGGCAGTAGCTAGTAAACTCGCTCAACGTAATCGAGCCCAAAAGACTCGATTACATTGAGCGAGTATATAGCTACTAGCCGGCGAGTTTAGAAGCGGACTAGTCAGCTAGTGCGATATAGTGACGATGGCACACAAAACTGTCCACTCACTCAGTAACCAACTAGCATGTTGACATTGAAAACAGGAACCACCATGATACATCTAGTTCACTATAGCAACTATGATGACACATGGCTAGCTTACTAGCTAACAAAGGCTCACACGCCAGCAAGTAGCGAGTAAAGTAGTCTGGCTTTCAATTTTTCTCGCAGATTGTTTACAATCGGCTAGTTAGTTAGTGAACATGATTACAGTGGGCGAGCTTACTAGCAGCTAATGAATTCGCCAGCTAGTAGCTGGTAATCTCGCTCAGTGTAATCGAGCCTTAAAGTTGGACTACTTTACTCGCTATTCGCTGGCGTGTGAGCTTGTTAGCTAGTAAACCTGTGTCATCACAATTGCTAGTAAACTAACTGCAAGTATCCAAGTGGTTCCTGGTTTCAATGTCAACAAGCTACTTGGCTACCGAGACCGTTGTGTGCCATCGTTACTATCGCACTATAGTAGGATCGTATTCGATGCAAAGTAGAGCCAAAGGTTGTCGGTCTTTTATCAAAGGAAAATCGTGTCATCATTTTTAGGAGGCGTAAGGTGAACCATTTCAAATTTAAAATGAAATTCAATGTTAAATCTGAAATACCGCATCATACCGACTGTGTTCTCGTAGTAGCTGTAGTCGCCCAGGTGCATCGAGTGTACGAAGTGGTCGGTTATACGTCAAATACTAACCTGACGAGCTTGATCGTAAAACAGAGACCGCTTCCAAAAAACAAGTAAACAACAGTGGCGCGTACAAAGGTAAAATGTAGTACATATGTGGAAATTAAAAAACAAATTGGATTTATCATAAATTACATTTAAAATAAATAGTTTATGAGAATAAAGGAATTTTTGTAGGAACAAGGGTGCCAGACGTGAACTGATCCCTTCGTCCCTTCATAATGTATAAAGAAATTATTCAATTTCTAAAACCCTTAAAAGCGAATGTCACTGGATCCCTTGACAGGCAATGATTTATTACTTTGCAACGAATATGAATGATCTTACTATAGCTGACTCGTCAGCTTCTAAACTCGCTCAATGTAATCGAGTCTTTACGAAGCGTGTTCAGACCAGCTCAACTTGACATTTCCTAACTTCTGTTTTAGTTTAACAACATATTTTAGAAACACCTTGTATTTTATTAGTATTAATTTGTACACTGATGTACAAGAGATACGTCATATACTATTGTTTAATTGCTCTATATTTCAAATTTTCAAACAATGTTTGTATCCTTACCTACGAGATTTACAGTAACTATATTGTTAGCTAAATAGCGGTAAACTATATTGTCTGCCGCCACTGTAACGAGATTGGTTTGCTTGAGACATCTCTGGGTGGATGAATGCACTATTAGCGGCAGGCGTACGAAATAGTAGCGGCAAGAGCAGCTTTCGCTTTTAGAATTGCACCGCATTTCGATAGAAGCTTAAAAGATGGTAGATATACATCGATCCAATATCTGTAAAGCTAATGGAAATTTCCTATTCTGTTTATATATTTTAGAATGAGTTACTTTCAAATTTCAAAGTAGTTAATTTTAATTTTTATAAGGGTGCATGCTTAACATTATTAAACCAATCCTGAAAAAATTGCCAGTTTATCGTTGACTAAAAATATATGAGGAAATTCAATTTCTTTTTTATAACAATAAAAAATTGTAAATTTTTTTTGTTCTCTAAATAAAGAAGATATTATTTTTCCTTCCGCCTAGACATTTCTGTAGAGTAATTGTTCATTACTGGTATCATTTAAAAATGTACGGGAAGTATATTTCTATTCTTTTCTTTGAAAAAAAAACGATTTATCAATTATAAGTTGCTCAATGTATCTTAGTTGTTGAGACTACCCATTCACACATGTTATATTAAATAATGAGGATTTTTTAATGTTCCACCGCTGTTAGAAATTAACAGAATGAATTATAAATTAAAATCCCCTATATTCGCCCTATTTCCATCAGTAGATACCTATATAATATATTCAAAGTCAGCTGCTATAATACAGCTGTTATATTCCCATTGTATCTGTATGGATACATCTTTCCTTCTATATCTGAAACTTTTATGTTTCTTTAAAACTCCCAAGTAGATACTATTTCGAGCGCGTATTTCGAGATCCTATATTCTTTCGATAAAAGTTTATCCGCGTAACACGAAATTCTGTATGTCACCGGAAAAAGGTATTTTATATTATAAAATCCTACCCTCATCCAGATGCCTCGCTTTCGTATGTTCAGGAGTATTTTGCTAATTCTAAACTTTTAAGAAATCTAATTACTTAACTTGTATGTATACAATATTGTTACCAAGTGTTTTGTCATAGTGTGTTCTTTGAATTTATATTAAAGTTCTCAAAATCAACAGCGGTAGGAAACTACTGTTGATTGTTATTAAACTAATTCTGATTTTATGTGTAACAGAAAATGTCACTTGAGCGTAGCAAATTTTCGATAGATTTAACTTTGAGTATGAAAATATTGCTCTTTAATTTAGGCCAAAGAGCCTTAGATCTTAGAGCCTACGAATATTTTACAAATTGAATAAATGAATTTAATTTCTAATGGATAGATTCCATTTTAATTGAAAAATTAGGAATTTATGATAAATAAATAAATTAATAAATAATAATTCTAAAGTTATTCGTTTCACAAAAAATATGTGTGACTTTTTTGTTCGAAACACAATTTTAAATACGTATACAATCAACTAATTTGGCATGTGATTTACATAAAAATTAAATAAGTTTAAGAGATCAAGTTCAATGTCAACTTACGATCTTTATGTATTACGTAATTTTGAACCAAATATAGATTCTCATTTAGATAACATGGTGAAAATAAGAAGGAACGTTAATGATGTCCTATCGATCTATTGACCTTTAACTAAATATATAACATTCGATGGAATGGGCAAAGTCAAAATTAATAAATATATGAATCGCAAGTGGTCGCCAAATTTATTTAGAAACAATAATACAAGTAGATTCCATAAATGTCATAAGAAATATGCTAAGCTTGTATTTGTTAGATCTCCTTATCTGAGCTCCAAGAGTTTGTATTCCTCCGAATCTTAGTTCCAGGCTCTAAAACTCCAGTACTGTCTATTTTTAAAATCTCCAGAATTTTTAATTTTGTTTCTTACCATTTACATATTTTAGTGGTATTATTTTGCCGATTTTATGTCCCACTGTATAGAACATAATGCCTTGCTTTATCTCGAACATATGTCATAAATTATTGTAAACAATGTTGTTAATACATATATATTGGCTGCACTATTGAAGTTTCAGTCAGTATTAGAAAATATACGGTACATTCCTGTTAGTAACTACTATGTCAACTTTGAAATATAAAGCTCCTTCACCTTATACTTTGAAGGCTCCGCCACCACCAACGGAAGATGTTACTTATTACGAGTAAGTACTTTGTGATTTTTATTGGAGTAGCAAGTAATTTTTTTATTGATTGTTTTTAATACAGGCTTCTAGACGTTTATTGCAATAAACATGCATGTAAGATAAAAATGAATTAGTATTTTAAATATACTTTCTTGTACTTTCACTAATAACTAATTCAAATTATTCGAAAATGTAACATGTAACATTGTAAAAAGTATTCTTATAAGATGTTTCTATTTTTAATGTTTTTGTATAAATAATTCAGGTTTTGATGAACATTTATTATACATATTTTGTACCTTTTTTGTATTATATTGTGTTCCATTATTACAGGCATCTTAAGGACCTGAATCTCAGTGGAAATTCTGAAGCACAGGTATTTGGAGTGGCTGTTTTTGGAATAGGCAGAGCTGGTAAGAACTGTCGAATTCTACTTTACAAATTAACAAACAATTGTATTAACATGTGCTGCAGAGTTAAGTTTTCCAACTACAAAGTGTTAAAACATTGAAGCAAAAATATGTTTTGTTTTAAATTCTAAAACCACTTTTTACATTCTTATATAAGTTAATAAAAAACGTAAATTAAATACATACTATGAAACTATGTGTTGAAAAAATATTTCAAAGCAAACTTCTGTCACATTGGTTTTTTACTAAAAGTAATGTTAATTTTTGGGTTATTTTAGGAACAATTCATATTACCAATCTCGTGAAAAACAGAAGAGGCAAAATTTTATATGTGGTGGATGACGACAAAGAGAAATTGTTGAAAGTTAAAAATTACTTTAATTTACTTCAAGTTGAATTCATTACTAGCGCCGAACAGAGCACTGTATTTACAGATCCCAAGTAAGTATCATTGATGCAACTGATTCGATAACGTTTTGATAATTAGGTACTATATTGACTTCATATAATTGATAATGTAATGAAAATTTTAATACATAAGATTATGGAGGTGTCTAATCAATAGCAGTTTTGTTTGTTTAACCACAACATATACCTACGTCCTAAGAAATTTAATATCCGCTGTTATTGGACAGGGTGTTACAAAAAAGTAGGTCAAGCCTTTAACTGTACATTTATTATCTGAATGAAAATGTACTTTAGTAAAAGTTTGATTTGAGACCAAATTAAAAATTGGGAATGAAACGACTTTTCCAAATTTGACTTTCCGAAATTCTGCCTAACCAATATTTAAAATATTTTTAAATAAATGTGGCTGAGATATCCATATTCTTTTTCTAAGACAAGACAATCAGTAAATCACTTTAAAAATTCAAATTATGTATTTATTTTGAATATCTCTTCTTCTAAGAGATATCTACACATGTAAATCAATTTCTCTTTCTTAAAAGTCTTTCGTTTAAGTGTGAGATACATCGTATGTGCCTCGCCAACTTACACACATGAAGATATTATAACGGAGGCTTTGAAAAGCAACAAGGCGGTGTTCTGCGAGAAACCCATAGCTGAAACTATTGAGCAGTCGAGGACTTTGTTTGAATTGGCTGAAAAAGTTAATCAACCGCTGTTCAGCGCTTTTAACAGGTATTTCATGCTAGTATATTTCTTGTAACATCGAATTTTTCCAAAAATATTTTCGAATTCATTAATATTCTATAACAAAATGTAATCTAAGTACGTAAAAAAGGTGATTCCTTGGATCATTTGAAGAAGAAAAGTTCAAATGAACCGATAATATCCGAAACATTTTTATTTTTCTAAGATTGCTGTAGATTTCCTTAATCCATGTCAAATATCCTACGAGATATCTGTAAAAATTTGACATTTTCTAAATACTTTAACACAACATATCGAAAATAAAGTTGTTTAGAACTTTTCTTACATTTTTAAATAATAAATATTTTTGTGTATCTCGAAAGAACTATACCATTGACAGTAATGTGAAACCATATGTTGAAGACGATTTGATCCAACTTATGCTGCAATAAGGGAAAGAGTGAAACAAGGAGAAGTTGGAAAAGTATTGACTGTAAAAGTTTCTAGTCGAGATTCGCCTCTACCAAGTCTGGCTTATCTAAAAATTTCTGGTAAGAGCTTTTTTATGACAAAATTAATGAAAATATCAAAAACTTGTGCAAGATATCAAAAATATAGTGTGGAACCTTACAGGGCAGAAAATACTCATCAAAATAACAGAAAAAGTTGTTATGAACAAACTTTCTAAAATGTGTTACAAGGGAGTTACAATCCTTTACATCACAAGTAATGTTACCATAGTAAATAATTATGTATGGAATTTTACAGTTCATTTATAAAATCGCAACTGATTAAAACATTTTTACTGTAATTTCTGTAGGTTTTTAGTTTCCTTAATTTTTTAATAATCTCTTAATAACGTTGTTCAAAAACTAATTGCACTTATTTTAACATTCAAGAAAGTCCTTGAATTTTCTTACACCATTTTTAAGATAACAATTATAGTTTATTATTATATTATTTCTTACCAATTAATCTATTTCAATAGGAGGAATATTTCACGATTGTGCAGTACATGACATAGATCAAGTGATTTCCATACTGGGCGAATACCCTACTAAAGTGTCAGCCATAGCACATGCCAACATTCCAGAGATTGACGAAATCGACGACGTTGACACTGTAGCAATTGTTTTATCCTTTGACAGCGGTGCCATCGGCATCATCGATCTCAGCAGGCAATGCGTCTACGGATATGACCAGAGATTGGAAGTAAGTAGAAAATCTTTAACTCACTTAATGTTTGGTGGAGCAGGATTGATTAGTCTAATTTGTGAAGTTTCCTTCAAAGGTAAATTAGATTGTAAGTGAAATGCCATCTGTTTCTTTCAGGTTTTTGGCGAAAAGGGGATGCTGAAGACAGAAAATCGTGCGCCTGTGCAAACTATCGAAAAATACACCCATGAGAGTGTCAAAAGAGCACCAATTTACTATTCTTTCGCTTCTAGATATGAGGAAGCTTATCGAATTGAAATGGAGCATTATCTAGATGTTTTAGAAGGTAAGGTTTTATCATTTATAATTCTTGGTGTGAAATTTTGTGAAAAAGTTCCTATAAATATGTTTCCTAAGATATCGGACGTAAATCTACGTATTTTTTGGTAATACCTAACACTCATTTTTTGTCGGTAATGTAAAACGACCGATCGCTTTTACTGTTTTTTCTTATGACTATGACCTGTTGCCTGAGACGTTTTGAGTTGATGTTGTATCGTAGTTTATTTATTAACTTTAACTTGTATGTTTTTAAAGGAAAATGCAAGCTTCTAGTCGAAGGTAGGGATTTATTGGCTGTTTCGAAAATAGCTACTGCAGCAGAGGAGTCGTATAGAGAGGGAAAATTGGTGGAACTGGAATGGAATACAAATGAGCTTCCGTCAGCCCAAGTGTAGGCATAAATCAATCCAGTGTTTCGTCAAGATCCTCTCCTGACAAATATTCATTAGCAATCCGAATAGCAAAGAAGTTTGATAAATTTAGACGGAAGTTAATTGGATATCTTACAAAAAAATATGTTTAATTGTTTATAAAAAATACCTTGGGTTTTAATATAATACTTACATGTTTGGTGCCTATATGATTGCTTTTTACATGGTATAGAAAATTCCAAAATTCCTGAAATTGTTTAGTTAAATAAAAAGTATAAGTGTATAAAAAGGTATTATTATTTTTTGACGTATTACTATTCATCCTGAAAAGATCACCTTGTACGGCAAAATACAGGGCGTGTATAATTTATAAAATTAAACTACAGCTTCCTGATGATATTTGTAATAGAAAAGTCTTATACAAACAAGTTCTATCATCGCGTTTTTTTTTTTCGTAAATTAAAGTTCATTTATTCAATGAAAATGAAGGCCGACCCTGTGTTATTTATTAAAAACTTTGGAATTGTTTTTACGCGACCCGAGATGCAACCTTATAATTTAAGTCGGTATAATCTAATATTATTAACACTAAAAGAAGGTTAGGTTACATTGTCAAAAAATTTGTGCAGTCAACTGATTTTGTATTTGTATTGAATTCATTATTCACTTAATTTATTAAATATTAAGCATCGTCCATCGACTCATCAGTGTTAAAAAGTGAAAGATTCCAGACAAAAGTTTTTATTTTGTAATTCCACGATGGTGACAGTGTGATTTTTATAAAGATGTAAAAAATAAGAATAGCGTTCCGATTACATTAAAAACGAGATTCTTACTTTGCTTAATTTTTTAGTTTGTGCACAAACTAGTTTTACAATGAACCGAGACAATGCATTACTATTTCTCAACGTGTCGATATGGTGTTAGTGTGTGGTGCAGCCGAAGAAAATGCGCTCGCGGCGTTGTTGTGAATGTTGAAGATGCAGTGTTGGAAAATCTTGACGAAGAGCCCACAATTAGTACTAATGCGCTAATGGGGATCGATTTCAACATTTTCTCTAGAAATGGTAAGTTTTACTTCATTATGTTCCATATTCTAATGGAGTTTATTTAGTACACGCAGTTGGCAACTATAGATACTTACGGATGTGGTTTTGTTTGCGAACTCTTGCAGTGACAACAATGCATTTAAGATAGTAATTACTATTAATTATTATAATAAGAAAATATCAGGTTTTTTTTAATATCTATTTTTCTTACAATTAGTTTGTACTTTTGCATTGAAAAACTCCCCAAAAATTGAGAAGTATCTTTCTATCTTTCAACGACGATTTGTTTACGCGGCTGGTCTACAGCACGTAACTCATCAGCACACGGACAGGACCGTTCCAGAGTGATCCATAATTGAACTTTAATTTACGAAAAAAAAAAAAACGCAAAAATAGAACTTTTTCATATACCTAAGACTTTTCTATTACAAATATCGTTAGGAAGATGTAGATTAATTTTTATAGATTTTACACGCCACACCCTGTACATATCAACTGATAAATTTCGCTGTGATATTGCCAAAGAATAAAAATATTGTTAGGAAAACTATAAAAATAACCCTTGATAAAGTTTTACTTTAATATGAACTCATAATAAAAACAGCGAAGGAATTAAATATTCAAACGTTGTAGATTATGTAAACATTAGTGAGGCTCTTTTAAAACCATAAACAATTTCTTAAAATTTAACAAACTGATTACATTTGTATCCAAAAATATATTTATCAATAAATTAAAAAAAAAAACGAATACAAATATATTCAATTTTATAAACAATATTCAGTCTATTCTAATATTTGATAATATTTAGATTAAGCATTTAATTAAAAATTAAATTACTGTTTCGCAACACACCTTAACTAAAAAGTAAATTGAAATTGTTAAAATTAAACTAAAAATAACACGTGTTACGAATTAACAAACATCTTAAAGAGATACTTCCATATCGCTCTCCCAAAATTACTCCGTTGTCGAATCGTTAGCACAGGTTTTATTACTGGAATCGGGATTTGGGTAATGATAATGTTGGAGGAATCACTACGATCTTGTAATAAAACCACCCACAGAGAAGCAGTTTTAAAAGGAACATTGGAAAAAGAATGGGAATATGTTAAACACTGTTTCAGAGATAAAAGCAAAACCTTATTGTGGCAGTCATTTTGCTACCGATAATCTACTACGTCTGTTCAGAAATTAATTGAACTTTTTGAATTACGCGCTAATTGAGATATTTAGTGATATGAGGTTGACAGCATTGTGTTGCGCATAACCTCCCCTGTAATCACATGTTCTTGGTTTCAACTTTTGAAGCAAGCTTACAGAGATGATGCTCTGAGTTGTAAGCAATGTTACGAATGGTTTTCGATTTAGAAATGGTCGTCAATCAGTGATAGGAAAACCTTCGATTCAACTAATGACTAACACGGACAGAAAGTCAGAGAAATTGCATAAAAGGTCAATTGGGTCTAGCCATGAAATTTTGACAAAAAAATTGAAGTGTATCGAGTTGCAACAAAATGTTTGCCCGCTACTTCTTGAGCAAATCTAGTAAAGTTGAAACGTTCCTTCAAATGATCATAACGGGGGATTAATTAATTAATAATAAAGTTTATAAAAAAAATAAGTTCGGTTATTTTCTGAACATTCAGCGTATAGATAAAGCATGCGTTTAGGTTCCTTACTTTATGTCTAATTTAATTTTCCGAAATTTTACGAAAATTTTTACGTAAATTATTTTTTAAGACTGTTGACAAATGTTTTTAAAATTGTATTTCTAGCAAAAAATTCCTTACACCGTTTTTGTAGAAAATACGGAAAATAACTAGTAAAAAAAATATTATTTTCTCGGGATACTCGGTTGGCTGCTAAGAGGGTAAAAACGGAGACAAATTAATTAATTTTTTTATTTTATTACACAAAATACATACTCACATCTGAGGGGTTGCTTTTCATGTGGACGACAAAATGGTGAACTGGCTCCTGGCCATCGACTGGCTCTCAAAGTGGCTCCAGACTGGCTGCGGACCGGCCCAGGACTGGCCCAGGACTAGCCCAGGACTAGCCACGATTCACCAATTTTCCGGGGTTTAAAAATTCTTTACAAAATGCTGAGTATATTAGAATTAAATAACCGTAGAAGAATCGGGAACAATGACTAAATCAGTCCACCAGTTTATAGAGATATTAAGCGAGATGGACATAGTGCAAGGGTCAGTTCAATATGCATGCAATTTGCAACGGGACACTTTAAATCTATTGTGTAATAATGACATGTAATTGATTTCAATTATATTTATAAATTTTGTTCTATGAAATGAGTTCTTCAAAATTGCGTTTATTGTAGTTTTGGTTCTTTTTAATTGCTATTGACTGCTATTTCGATATTAAATTACTATAAAAGACCAGAACTGATTTGCAATGTCAGATATAAAGAAACGTTCTTAGAATAAAGAGTAAGTAAAAAAAACAATTTCGAATTAGATTAATTTTTCTATAATTTGGCGAAGGCGCTAGTGGTAAAACAACATTTAGAAAAATTCGACAACTCCTTGCTTTCAAAGCTCAGAGAAAAACTAATTTTAGAAATAGATTTAAGATGATCGAATTAATCCAAGAGAAATTAATGAATAAATGAAAATTTACAAAGAGAATCTCAAAATTTGAGTTATATTACTTTGCTAGACATATTTTTCTTGTTACAAAGCGCAACGATACAAAGAGTTAAAAAAATCTTTTCGTTCTTGTGCCAGTTCTTTCGTGCCACTGAAATTCGATTTATCGGGAATCTATAAACTCAATAAAGCTGGGAAGTAATACTGTCTGCCCAAAGTACTTTTCCTTGTTTCCAGTGCATTCGTACATCTATTCCAACTTTTAAATAAAAGTCGATAAAATTCCCGCGGGGAATCGAGTTAAATTTCAATTATTGCTTGTGCCAGCCCCTAGCAAGACATACCGACATCATATTAAATCGTCGAAAAATCAAATGATGTGTATTAGAAGCTCTAAACCAGATCAATTAGGGCACATTTTTTGCTATTTTGAAACATTAATTAAAATTTTGCTATGTTCTGATTAAATGGTGAAACAAAACGCTTCAGATTCCAATTTGAGTTCAAGATATGTTAAAAATTAACACAAACAATCGAAAAATTAATTAAACGATAACATGAGTATACTTCCCATGGAATTTTGAACATTCTTTTACAAACATTACTTTTGCCTTCTTTGAAGTGTTGATTGCTAATCCTGTGAAGTTGAGTTATGTAAAATTGTAGGTCCTTTGCTGAAATGTTACAAAAGCGAAAATTAACCTCATAATTACGTTAAAAAGAGTAGAAATCATCAGGCAAATGGAAGCTTTTCAAGGTTCATCAAAGTTTTAAAGAGAAATTTGATTGCACAAAGAAAAATCAAATACCATTTGGGGCTTAATTAGAACATCCTTCAATTACATTAAAAACATTCTGTTATTTGATAAAAAAATGTGATAGTGCTACAATTTTGTGCAAGATACAGTTCAGGAAAACCTTTCTTGCTAGTCTAACTAGTTTTCCATAGGAAACAGCTCCAATGTCCTCTCCAGAGTCCTGTTTAGTTAATTCCTACTGTAATAAACCCTGCTTGAATAACGAATGCATTATCCTCACTAGAAAAAAGCGGCTAAAAGCCCAGCGATAATTTCATGTGGCGTGGTGGGGCAGGACAGACAACTGAGGACGAAACAAAAAGCTCGCAATCGCGTCTAATAAAAGCCGTTGTCGAAAGCACTCTGGAAAATTCCCGTAATTAATTCTCCCCGTAACAGAATCGCAAATAGTGAGGACGCGTTGCCGTTATGATGACGCATATCTGGCACAATAGATGATCATCTGTTGATCAAAATGCAGCTAGAAGGGTCGGCGATGATTAAGCAGGGCACGTGCGCGAGAACAATTGACACACGCTTACATGGTCGGCTTGATAGATTTTACGTTTCCCACAAGCCGCGGGGAGAATATGGAGAGGACTGTGCCCCGCACATGTGTCATTCGGGGCGTTGTAAATGGTATTGAATATCAGGACGAGATCCCCGAGGATGAGGAGTCGTTACGGTGGGGATGTCGGATTTGAGCTTTGGGGGTGGATTTACTGTACTTTTTATTCGTCATTCAGATTATACAAACTGGAACGAGTAACATGGAAAGAATAAAACGGTATTGTCCTGATTCAGAGTTTGAAATGTCTGGGCGGTTCCAAATACGCAGGAATAATTAAACAAGCAATTCTTTTAGATTATTTTAGACTTACTCAACATTCGATAATTGTCTCTCTTTTATTTACTAAATACTTTAGAAGAATACTGTTTGCTGAGAAAGTATTTTGTAAAAAGTAAACATCATTCATGAGTTTTCTATGGACTATGGACTTATGACCTTTTGTTTTTGAGAATCAAAAGTAACATATTTCATTGAACTTTGGTAAAGTAAGTCTTTGAGTGCCTAAGAAAATCTGAATATGTCAATGTTGTTAGTTTTTGACTATCTTATAAAAGCTAGTAGCTCTTCCAGTGATAATTTATGATACAACTCTTTTAAGGTTAGCTTTTTACAGTGTATATTTTGTATTTCGTTTTACATAAATGATGTCCTCTTGTCCAAATCTCTGAAAATGCTAAGTAAATTTACAACTGAAGAGTATGCAGATATTGTCTTTGTATATGGATATTCCAATAGGAATGCCAGAGAAGCAGCCCAAAAAGATACCCAAATAGATATCAACCTTTCCACACTTCGACAAGAACCTCGCTCCTACTGAAGTGAATGTACAAAATGAAGAAAATATAATAGATGCTGTCATTGACAACTCTTATATTAGTATTCTGCTTATAGCAAGTAATCTTCATTTATCACCGAATTTTGTATTGAACAGAGAAATGTTAAGCAATTTAATAAATCCACTTCAATTTACCTACATATCTCAAGGTTTCTAAAAGGGACTTTCTTAGTCTAACTCTAAACGTTGAGCTTCTTGTTATTCCTAAATCGTGAATTATATTATTGATATATTCAACGGATTTGATAGTCAAGTATATCTAACAGCGTTTGCGACTTATCTTACCTTTATTTTCAGTGGGTACTGATAATATTATCATCCTTTATTATTCGTGTCGATAGTACAGGACGAAAATACCTATAATCAGTGCACATTGACAATGAAATTAAATATAGTACCGGATGGGGCCATTGAAAGGTCCATTATTACTTCCGGTCTAGACCGGAAGTTGTGTTTTTAGACCGGAAGTAGATTTTTTTAAATGAAAACACCCATTTTTTACCACGAATTTCGAAAAACAAATTTTATTCTTATTATTTTTTCGATTTAACCCATATTTTGGGCCTAAAATGGCTATAAAAAAGCAAGAATCTTGAGACAGCGGAGTACCTTGCTGGGATCACTTAAAAAAAAATGTTTCATACAAAAAGTTGTAGTGTGAAAAGGAGGCTATATTGATATGACCTTGAAAATTACCTTGACCTTGACTTCAACGTCGTTTGGGGATCAAATTCAAAATTTTAAATGGGGTCCTCTTTTTTGACCTCGGAAATTCCAAGAACGGGAAGTTTATCAAGGTAATTTTAAGGTAGAAAAACTGTATAATTATTAACTAGTTTTAGCACTTCCCAGGAATAGCTACGTGGATGTACCTAGTAGTTTTTTATTCCCTTTCGGGTGCTTGAATTTAATCTTCAAACGACCTTGAAGGTCAAGGTCATTTTCAAGGTCATGTCAAGATAGTCCCCTTTTAATCTTACAACTTTTGTATGAAACATTTTTTTTTAAAGTGATTCCAACAAGGTACTCCATTGTCTAAAGATTCTTGTTGTTTTTTTTTGTTCTTTATGGCCATTTTATTGCCAAAATTGATCGAATTGAATCGAATAAATAACAAGAACAGAAAATTTTTTTTCGCTTTTCAATCGAAATCCGTGGTAAAAATGAGGGTTTGCATTAAAAAAAATCAGCTTCCGTTCTCAAACACCACTTCCGGTCTAGACCGGAAGTCGTGACTTTCGATGGCCCCCTCCATGTCCTACAATTTTTGTTCGAAATTTTTTCCAAATAATCGTGTACAACCGAGATATTATTTTGTCTCAAGATAAATGCCCCACCCGGTATATTAAGCCAACGATCCAGACAAACATATACGCATTTTCTTACTGAAATAACAAATATTAAAATTGTTTTGGCATTTTACCTACGTGCTGTCGAACTGACGATGTTTTCCACTAGTTACTAATTATTGCAAAACTTAAACAACCTTAAATTTTTAGTGTAACGAAATGTCAACTACATCCGCAAATATTGTTTCAGCTAAGTATACATTTATGCATGTTTCGATTCCTAATTTCTCCGAAAATGTGCTGCAGGGGAAGTTTTTCATTTAATATTCTCCTGTGATTAAATTTCTCAGAACTTCCATATCTTCTTATAGTCATTTTCATAATTTTTTACTGCCTCGGAAAAGCTAATACACTTAAAATCTTTAAAATGTGTTAACAATAATCTTGAAAACGTTTAATAAAATTTTCAGCTCTCCATATACAGTAGAATTTGAGGGTGTTCCACTGTCCAATAAATGTTAATAAAAAATGCATAATTTTTTTAGTAAATCAAAGTAGGTTTCGAACTTACATAATTAATAACATACATATTTGCATTAATATGAAGTGTCAAGGGAGATTAAAAAATGTGGTGTCGATGGTAAAAGATTATCATTGGGAAGCTGAGAGGCGAAATAGCATTTTATTTTTTATTTCTTCCACTGAAATTCGATGTCCATATCAAACAGCTTTCAAAGAGGTATCACATATAGAATATGTAATTATGGAATGTAATTTTATTTCTTTGAATATGTTGACAAGCTAAAAGAAAGCTCGTAATATTAAAAAAAAAATACAAAGAAACTGTAGATTTCGAACTTGAGCAACTAAAGTTATATGTTAAAATGAATAGACTAAATCGTTAAAGAAAATCAAAACAATGTTTTGACAATAAATTTGTGAAAAAACAAAATTGAATAAATCCTAACCAAAACCGCCAATTTTCATATTTGCAAAATATTTTTCCACATATGAATACATATTAATAGTTCTACAGAGGTTTTTGGATGAATATATAACACATGAAATGGAGAATTCATTTCATTTATGAATTTAACAGAAATCACAAGTCTCTTTATATTTTTAGATATAGTGCGACTAGAGTATGTCATTACCTACTTCAAATAAATCGGTGATATATACGTCATTGTGCAAACAACATTTATAAACACAAATAAATAATAAATTATTTTCTTGTTTGACATTGAGACGCTAAGTGTCTCAAAATATTCTAATTTATTTAACAAATATACAATAATGTCTGTCCTTGCTTCAATTATATGTCTGTAGTAAACATGCTCACATTTAGACATAAATAGAATATTTGAACAGGTATTAGAAATCACTCTTGTCTAACTACAGAGAACGATATAATGGTAAGTTACGATTATAATATATTAACCTATTAGTGTACATTAATGTGGGTTTTTAGTGGATATACACTTGTAATGTTACTAAGATTTCTATTAGAGAATTAATATATTTTACGATATTTGGACTTCAAGCTAATCCATATTTTAAAAAGAAATTCATTTACAATTTTTAAAGGAAGACTACTTTAAAAGCTATCATTAATAAGTGACTTTATAATCCGGGCGAATTAAACCAAACACATGCCTGTTTGAAAAATCGGGCCTACCTCGAATTTTGTAGGTTAAAATTAAGTAAAAAATATCCAATAAAAGCCTAAATTTGTGTATTTGTAGAGGTCGAGCGTCATATTGTTTATAACAAAAGAAAAAAAATAATTGCTCTTCTTTCAGTTTTTCGTTTATATTTTCGAAATAAGTCTCTAATCGACATCAGGTATACTTATCGATTTTGTTCCTGAGGAAATTTGCTACAAGGTTAGGCTTTTGCGAAATCTCGCAATTTTTTTTTACATTGCAAAATTAGCGGTGAAAATAAAAATTTGCAAAATTTTCAGCATTAATAAAAAGAACGAATTTGACTGAAATTGGATGAACAGAAAACTGTTGGGTGCTCAATAAATACCCCCAATTTCAAAATGGCGGCCTAGCCGATTTTTTAATATATAGATTTCAAACCAATTGCATCAAATAGTGCTTAAAAAACATTAACTTAAAAAAGCGTCTCGATCCGACCTATAGGAGCCGAGATAATTTTTTTTCTGAAAAACGGTATTCTGCCTGTTCTATTTAATATTTTGTAATAAACTTGGGCTCGTTTAAAGTAGAAGACTTTCTTTATACGCCGATTTATTTTGAAGCGATTCGACGAAGAAATGACCATGCGGTAACCAGAAGAGGGGAGCGCTGTGACGTCATAGTGCCCTTGTTGCGCTCGGCTTCACAAAATTCTTACTTAACAAATGGATTAATTGTAATTAATGGATTGTAATTATGCCTTCGATATTTTCACAAGAAGGTGTTTTTACGTATTTAAAACTAAAAGTCAAATTATTTCTTTGAAAAAAGTGATCAGTTACCCTATTTACCGCTCAGAAGAGGTCGACTTCTACAAATACACAAATTTAGGCTTTTATTCTGTGTATTTTTTACTTAATTTTAAGCCCATAAAATTCGAGGTAGGCCCGATTTTTGAAAAAAAAAAAACTAATTCGCCCGGACTATTATAATTATATTAGACACAAAAATAAGAGGTTATTTCTTTGGACACTATTTTTTAGTATATCACTTGTCTATCTATAACATTTTTTTCTTTAGATAATAATTAGTGACTAGTTTATTTATTTATGTAGTTTGATTCTTGATGATACAAAAATCATCTTAAATAAAAGCTACACTAAATCATTTTGTCCATATTTTTTAATTGTTTTCGAATATACAAAGGGTCCATTTTTTTTCTAACATAACTCAATCAAATCGAAAAGAAATTAGATTTTGCATCCTTCTAGAAAACATTCATGCACGCCCATGGCCACATTTACGTTTTATTTTAAAAATTCGCCGTTAAAGTAAGCGAGCGAAATCCAGTATAAGATTATGTTCCCGTTCCAGCTTCCAGCGGCGACATCCATTCTGTTGGCAATCGCGTTAGTCCATTTAGTTCATCCATTACTGGCTGCGGCTTTCCTCGACCCAGCGCCGGATATTGCGCGATCGCGCGGAGGCCCAAAAACTGCGGACGTGCATCCGGAGCGGCAGCTCGCTGCAAAATTTGAAGATTTTGGGCCGGCGGGTAGGCAGTATTTGCCGGAAGGCCTGCCGGGAGCTGCGCATGATGAGACCGCCATTTCGCAAGGGCGGCACGGCCCTAACCGCCAGGAAGAAACTCAGAAAGCAAGGACGAAGAGGGAGCCGGAAAGGAAACGGAGGATTAAAATACTACCGTTGCTGTGTGGATAGTTAGGCTGTACTTTTCCTCAATTAATATCATAACACTTTAGTTTTCTAATAATAAAATGTTTCTTAAAATGTTCCCTAGAATACTAATCTGTTTTTTTTAAGTAACTGTTGGAAATCTAAAATACGTTGGAAAATAATGTAAAACAGACCGCTTTTGTAGGACTAGCGTCGTGTTATTTTATAATCACCACAATTGATGTTAATGTGGTTCGTCCAAACATTAAAAAACAGTCTACTATGCTTAAAAAATTAATCTACCTTTGAAACTACACCACTGTATTTAAAAAATGTATGTTTGTGTGACTCTTAAAAGCTAGAGTCGCATCCAATTGCTTTAGCTGTTCTCCTGTAATCCAAAAAAATATATTTTTAAATTTCAACTCAGTCTCATAGCATCTGTTTTCATTAATTTGTGACATAGAAGGGACAAATGTTTTAGTAATACCTACCTTGTATGTATAAAAAATATAATACATTAAAAATTAAGGAATGTTATGTATAAAAGAACAGATTCAACAAAAAAATGACGAATATTACAAAAAAATTATAAAAAATAAAAAAGGTGCTGAATTATGGAAGGAGTTAAAGAAGTTACTACCTGGAAAAACCAAAATTTATGATAGTATAAGATTTGGTGGTATACTTGAAATACAGGATAAAATAATAGCAGACAAATTTAATAAATATATTATAAATAGCGTCGAGTTAATAATGGAAACAATAAAATCCCCACAAAATGTATATTAACCAGAATTCCGAGACAACTTAAGTTTATTTGATAAATTTGAAAATGTAGCAATGGGTAAATTTTTCATTCATCTTGGATCTGCCATCTTGAATTTTATAAAATTGACCTTGGGTCCATGATCAACGGCCCCGAAAACCCCCGTATCCCAAATTTGGCGCGAATGTGTTATTTTTTGGTCGGCCATCTTGGATCTGCCATCTTGAATTTTGCAAAAGTGACCTCGGATCCGTGATCAGTGACCCCGAAAACCCCCGTATACCAAATTTGGCGTAAATCTATTATTTTTTGAAAATTCGTGATCTGATCTTAATTTACCCGTTTTTTTTTTTTGAGGTTAGAAAAAGAACCATCAATTCTGATCACGGATCGGTGGAGTCTTAATATAAATGAACATTTGAATAAAGAAAAATTTTTTTTTGTATTTTTCCTAGCACTTTTGCCATTTTTGACCTGTTTTTGGACGTTAGGAAATTCCTGTGATGTGATATTCTGACACCGGATTCGTGATCAGGAGGCAAAAATACGGATAACATATGTCGCATGAAAAGTACAGACAACTTTTTTTGTGTGTGGCTTTGATAATTTAAAAAATACTACAGATTTGGAACTTATAAATTTGAAGGATAACATAAAAGATACCTTTGAAGTAATTGGAGATCGTTTCCTCGGTAGTAAATTCGTCCTTGTATTACGGAACTTTCCTACAGAGTTGAAATACTTCGGATGTATTTCCGGTGCCAAAAGTTGCTAATTCGCAGGATTGACTATAGACCAATAAACACAATAACAATATTTAAAAAAATATTAAAAGTGGATGTAAAAAACCAACTGGTGAATTATTGTGAACAGAATGAAGCGATTGTGCAAAACCAATCGGGTTTTAGAAAGAACTACTCATGTGAATCGGCAAGAAATTAATGTTTGTGATGAATAGTTGAATGCTTTGGAAAGTAAGAAGACTGTTCTAGTTGTATTCTTGGATTTGAGAAGGGCATTTGAAACTATAAACAGACAGTTACTAGTTGATAAGTTGCAAGCAATAGGATTAAGAAACAATGTGTTGAAATGGTTTGAAAGTTATTTAAGTAATAGATATCAAAGAGTTAAATTTAAAACAGCAATGTTAGATACGATACTAGTAAAGTATGGGGTTTCACAGGGCACTATTTTAGGGATTGTGTTATTCTTATTGTATATGAATGATATAGTTAAGGTAGTAAGTAAATGTCATATTTCATTTGCTGATGATACAATTTTATATATTGAAGGGTCAGCTTATAATTATTCAGTGTGTGATCAGGTGAATCAAGAACTGAAAATGATTAATGATTGGTTATATAGCAATAATATGCTGTTAAATTTGGATAAAACAAAATATATGATTATGGGTAGAGGTAGTACAATGGGGGAAATTAATGATGTAGATAATAAAATTACTATAAATGATTATGATGTTGAAAATGTTCGGGAAATGAAGTATTTGGGGATTATTTTGGATGGGTTTTCAGAAGCATTGCAATTACATTCTGAATAAGATCTCAAAGAAAGTAATAATAGAATGAGTCTATGAATAATAGAGGTTTGTTGCATAAAGCATTGATTGGTCCCCATGTGGATTATTGTTCAAATTTTTTTTTTGGTTTACCTTTTTCAAAATGAGAGGTAAAATTAAAAAAATACAGAATAAAGCTATGCGTACTATATTGAAGTGTAATCGTTATACACCGATAAAGCAAATGTTGGAGGTGTTAAACTTTATGAATATAAAGAAAAGATTAATTTTCAGGACTTTAAGTATGGTATTTAAAATAAAAAATCAGACAACTGCTAAATATGTGTGTAATAAGGTGCAGTATGTGAATGAAATTCATTCATATAACACAAGGATACATGGAGATTTTTTTTTTATTAGAACTGCTACCTAGGTCTGTGGCGCTGAATAGAACAATTTTGTATAGGGGGGTGAATGTTTAATGCACTGTCAGATATAATAATGAATTGTAATATTCAAGTAAAATTTAAAATTCTGTTAAAGATATATCTATGTGTTTGAAGCATTTTCGTAACTTATTTTAGAAATACCGTATTGTTTTGGGTATGTATGTGTGTTTTTTGTTATATGCAGGAGGTATCATGGGTCTCGAGGATGTACATAGGTACTTGAAAATTTGTAAATTTTTATTTGTTTTTTTTTTTGGCTAAATAAAGATTATTATTATTATTATTATTATTATTATTAAATGTTCAAACTGATTACAGCCCGCTTCCATACAAGTATAAAAATTTTGTTCGAAACGTTCGCGCACATTCCGAAGCATTTCCNGGAATACGTCAAGTTAAACTATTTGATAAACCAACATATTTTATTTTTATGTTCATGAAAATAAGAAAACGTGGTATTTTGCCTATCCTAAGAAAACATTATGACGATTTCAAATTTTTCCTGAAAGGTGATTCACAGAAAAATAAATATTTTATGTGTTTTTCCTCTAACTTGAAACTGATATTTTATAGTGGTGTTTCTAGGAAAGGGACAACAACCTGGGCACTGAATCATGTATTGGTAAATTATAGGAAAACTCTATTATTATGGCGACTGCACCTGTCTGATAGCGTAGTTCCATTCCTGAGCCAAATAATCCTTGTCAGACTTCTATTGAGTTGAGGGTTGGATCTTGGCTGTTTATTTCATTTATTTTTAAGAAAGGAAGGAAGTCTAGATATACTTTCCACGATTTATTTTTCCACGATTTAGTGTATTATATTTACTCTAGCAAGGGCAAGGGGTTCCAATAAATAAAATAAATGTGTTAGAACCCTCTAGAGGAAAATTTAGTTGTTTTCATGCTCGAAGGTTGGTAAAATCCCCAGTCCAGGTACGTGTTTACCAAATTCACAGCCGCTTTTTTGCAATTCCACCCCAGAACAACTCGTCAACATGCATCATGACAGGACCTGCCGGGGGTATGGATTCACGCCGCCCCGCCGCAGCCGCATTTGGCTAGCTTTGGAATAGGCGAGTCAGTGACCTGTCTGGGCCAGGGGTGCAACAGCTCATCGATCCGTACCTTGAACTTGAATGGGGCCCCGATGCCGGCACCGCCGCCCCTGGTGCTGGCCCGGCGACCGACGGTTCAGGCGCCCCATCTCCGACTGCGGCGAGACTTGCACCATCGCAGAACTCCTCTTTTTGGGTTTAATGGCCGATCTTGGAGGTCCTTCCTCGGCTGGGTCGCGATCGGCCGGGTGGGAATTGTTTTAGCGAGGATTACGGATTGAAAGGCCGCCATTAGGGGTGTTGGGCGATAAGAAAATATGGTCGGGGTGGCCGGGATGGCGACAAGCGCTTGGGGGTGTTGTAATGGTGATAATTATGTATTTGGATAAGTACCTACCTACAGGGTGATGGGAAATGCGTTTTGCTTGAAAACGATTTAGGAGAATTAAACTATGAAAATGGCGTGTTATATTTTCAGCAGCTGTCAGTTAAATTGAGGTTAAAAACATTTTAACTATGCAGGATGTGTACATAATATTTTAACAGGTGACTTCGGCAGGCGCGGCTTTTAACAGAGGCGTAGTCGGCTCACTCTACCAGTTTCTATTTCGGCCATTTGCAGGACCTTGTTATTTCTGTTCTACAGTTTTATTTTTTTGCGTCTGCATAAACCACTGTATTTTAATATTTATGCTATGTATACAGGGTGTTAATGATAATATTTACCAAACTTTAATGGCTTGTTCTACCGATGAAAATAACCAACTTTTGTCTTATAAAAAGTTTTGATAGGACGCTTCTCTACGGAGATCAGAGTGTTAAAAGTTTCAAATATTTATATGATGTTTCCTGTTACTTTACTGGCACAAAATATTTAATGATAAAATTTGGGGGATGACATTTTTTAGTAGGGACTATATTTTCATGGATAACTTATTCCAAAATACACTCCAGTGGCGTAGTTATTTTTTTGAATAAAATCTCGTACGCCACTGGTTTTTTAAACAATTTTAAATATACAATCAATTTGTGGCAATAAAGTATTCTTGCAAAGATACTTAAGTACCTACGTTGCTAATTACCATTAATTATTACAATTAATTACCATTTTCTGTTGATTGCTAAATGTGTAAAAATAAATTCAATACTTATATTATCAATATTTTTTAAAGATTTCAAAACATTGTACAACGCCACTGTTTTGTGTGTTGCAAAAAGTTTTTTATTTTTCATACAACTAAAAACAGATTTTAATAAAAAAAATATAGTACTTATTCAATTATACATGAAGACCCATCTACCAGTATCAGACAGAAATCAACAAATA